TATAATATATATCTTATAAATAATATATATAATAAACAAAGAGGTTAAAAGTAAATGCTAAATATTATTGCTTACTTGCATTAACTCAGACAAAAACAAAGAAGAGGATTTCTTAGACTTGTCAAATATATAATCAAAAGGTTTTGAAGACGTTATTTATATAAAAAACAATAAATAAATAAATAAATAAATAAATAAATAAATAAATAAATAAATAAATAAATAAATAAATATAATTTAATAAATAAATAACTGAAAAAGACAGAGTAATTAGACAAATGAACAAACAGAGAAAGTGCTGTTTCTGATGTTTTCTTTGTATATACTTTAGACATAATAATTAATAAAAATGCAATTATAATATTATAAATATATAATTATAATCATATAATTATAATTATAATTATAATGATAAGGGTTTAGGGTTTGCAGCTGTTCAGAGTCGCTCTCTTGTAACACCAACAGAAGCCAGCAGCAGCAACAGCAGCAGCAGCAACAGCAGCAGCAACCACAGCAACAGCAACAGCAATTACAGCAACAGCAGCAGCAACAACAACAGCAGCAGCAACAACAGCAGCAGCAACTGCAATAACAGCAACAGCAGCAGTAGCAGCAGCAACCACAGCAGCAGCAACAGCAACAACAACAGCAGCAACTACAACCGCAGCGACAACAGCAGCAGCAACAGCAGCAACAGCAGCAGCAACAGCATCATCATTATGATATATCTGCAATCATGCTGGCAGCTCTCCTTTGCTTTCTTTATTTTATTAGGTGTATTCATGAATGCAATTAAGAGAGCTGCATCAGACCCAATATATTTGAGAGAAACAAACTTAAGAAACAAATATATTAATTGCATGCTGCTGCTGTGCATGCAGCAGCAGAGTATAGCGTTCGTCTTCCTCTTATAAAGCTGTCTACTTAAACCCTGATTTGGGGTTTAAGCCCTTGCTTATAGCAGGCAAAGGGCTGTCTAACTAAACCCTAAATCAGGGTTTAAACCCTAACTTAGGGTAAGTGTTTAAACCCTAAGTAAGTGTTTAAACCCTAAATAAGGGTTTAAACCCTAAATAGGGCTTTAAACCCTAAACAAGGGTTTAAACCCTAGTTTAGGGTTTAAACCCTAAATAAGGGTTTAAGTAGACAGCTCTATAAGAAGAGAAGAGATAAAAGAAATGCAGCAAAATATACATTGAGTGTTTATTTAGATAAGCAGGGTATATTATACACCAACTCTACCCTGAATTCCTATGAAATTAAGAAAAAATAAGATAAATTAAATTAAATTAATTAAATTAAATTAAATATAAATTATTAATTCAAATAAATTAAGAGAAATTAACTAAATGCAGCAATTCAGAGGTGAGGCCTCCTCAGGGCTCCTTGCAAGTTGGCTGCATGCAGCAGAGTTTCTGAGGGCTTGAAGGTGTCTGTACACCTCAATTGCAGTAAATTATGTTTTAAATATTCAAATTAATGCATACAAAACTGTTTAAATAGAGAGAGTTTAGCAGAAAGGCGGGAAGGCTGAGGTGTATAGGGAGCTTCTGCTGACGCGCAGACGTAGAGATCTTTCATTGACGCTAGAAGTAGTAGCAGCAGCAGCAGCAAATAAAACTGCTGCAGCAGCAACTGAAGCAGCAGCAGCAGCAACAGCAACTGCAACGGCAGCAGCAACAGCAGCAACTACAGTTCTTCCAGCGCCCTCCATCCTCAGTATCATCGGGAGCAGCAAAGCAGCAGCAGCTGCAGCAACACCAACGACAACACCAGCAGCAGCAATAGCAGCAGCAGCGGCAGCAGCAGCGGCTGCAGCAGCAGCACAGGTGGGTACAGGGGGTCTCACTTTCTTTTATGCATTTCAAGCTGCTCTGCTACTGCAGCAGCAGCAGCAGCAGCATCAGCAGCAGCAGCATTTGTTAGTTAGTAAAGAAGCAACTGCAGCAGTAGCAGCTGCTGAAACTGATGAGAAAGGAGCAGTAGAAACACCTCTAGCTGATCAACAGCAGCAGCAGCAGCAGCAGCAGCAGCAGTAACAGGTGCCCTCTCAGCAGCCGAAGCACCGCATCTTCTTCAGAAGAGGGGGCTGAGGCAGCAGCTGCAGCTGCAGCTGCAGCAGCAGCAGCAGCAACAGCAGCAGCAGCAGCAACAACAACAACAACAGCTAAAATGGATTTGATGAGAGATATGTTGGGCATGAGCGGCGGCCCTCCTTCTCGTCAGACTGTCGCTGCTATTGGCTTAGGCAGCAGCGTGAGTTCTTCTACAGCAGCAGCAGCAGCAGCAGCAGCAGCAGCAGCAGCAGTAGCAGCAGTAGCAGTAGCAGCAGCAGCAGCAGCAGCAGAGGAAGGAGTTTAGTTGCATTCTTGCTTCTCTCTTTTTTCTTTCATTTTGCTGCAGATATACTCTATTTATAGCTGCCGTTGTTTTTGCTGCTGCGCTGTCTGTCTCCTTCGTCTCTTCTTCTGTCTGTCTCCTTTTGTTTATCTGTCTCTGTCTGTCTTTGCTTCTTCATCTGTCTCTTCATCTGTCTCTTCATCTGTCTCTTTATGTGTTTGTTTGTTTATTTAACATAAGCCCCCCGTCTTATCTCAAGCTGCACGAACTTTTGCTGCTGCTGCTGCTGCTGCTGCTGTTGCTGCTGCTGCTGCTGCTGCTGCTGTTGCTGCAGCAAGCGGGGAAGAAGAAGGGTTTGTCTGCGATTACTCCTCTCGTCTCTCTTCCTGCTGCATTTGGAGCCCCTCAAGGCGGCAATATGGTTTGTCTTTCTTTGCTGTTATTGTTGCTGCTGTTGCTGCTGCTGCTGCTGCTGCTGCTGCTGCTGCTGCAGTTGTTGCTGCAGCAGTTGGTGCTGCAGCAGCTGTTCCTGCTTTTATTTGCTGCTGTTGCTGTTGCTGTTGCTGCTTGTACTGAGCCTTGTTTTTTTCAGTTTTTGCTGCGCTTCAAACTCCCGGTCCTGCTGCTGCTGCTGCTGCTGCTGTTGCTGCTGCTGCTGCTGTTTGTCTTCAGGAGACAAGCAGCAGGAAGAAGCAGAGCATTTCTAAATGGAGACTCTGTGCATTTCAGAACAAAGCAAGAGAGGGAGAAGGCTTGCGTTTAGTGCGTTGGCAGCGTGTGACGGATGCTCAAGCGCAGCAGCTGCAGCAGCAGCAGCAGCAGCTGCAGCAGCAGCTGCAGCAGCAGCGCCTGCAGCACATGCAGCTAAACGAACGCTTGCAATATTTTCAACTACAAGACGAAGCAGAGTTTACCTACGCTAAATTTAATATTAAAGTGCTGCACCCTCCATTAACAAAACAAATATATGATAAACTTGTTCCGGTAAGGTGTACATACACCCCAGCACAAACAGCAGCAGCAGCAGCAGCAGCAGCAGCTATCTCTTTCTCTTTGCTGCTTCTCTTGCTTCGTCTCCTGCCTCTGCTGCTTTGCTTACTGTCTGTCTCTCTCTCTCTGTCTATATATTGATATATACATACACAAATACATATGTATATATATATATATATATATGCATCTAAACACATATATATAATATATATATTAGATATATATAATATATGTTATATATATTATATATATCTAATATATATATATATATATAATATATGTTATATATATTATATATATTATATATTATATATTTATGTTTATGCGATTTTATTTCTCATATCCCCATGGCGTCGTCATCGCCAGTCTAAAAATAATAAATAATAACAATTCATGACAACAATTAAATATAATATATATATAATATAATATATTTATTTATTTATTTATTTATTTATATTTGTTTATAGGGGCTGGAGGGTAACTGGTCTTACGAAGAGACATCTTTGCTGTGGAAGCTATGTGAAGTCTATCAACTTCGCTGGTTTGTTATCTACGACCGTTTTAACTTTGAGCAAATTAATTTAAACAACTCTAAAAAGAATATCAAAGGCATGCAAGACCTTAAGAGACATTACTTCGCTATTGCTAAGGCGTAAGCATTCACGGTTTACGGTTTACGGTTTAGGGGGTTTAGGGTTTAGGGTTTAGGGGGTTTAGGGTTTAGGGTTTAGGGTTTAGGGTTTAGGGTTTAGGGGGTTTAGGGTTTAGGGTTTAGGGTTTAGGGTTTACGGTTTAGGGTTTAGGGGGTTTAGGGTTTAGGGTTTAGGGGGTTTAGGGTTTAGGGTTTAGGGTTTAGGGGGTTTAGGGTTTAGGGTTTAGGGTTCTAGGGTTTGAGGGTTTATTCATTTATACTGTCTACACTAATTTTTCATATGTTATATATCATTTATCATAATCAAGCAATAATTATATGTTTAATAATAATAATTAATATTATTATTATTTTTATTAATAACTCGTGTAGTTGTAATTCGTTATAAAGATAATTACAATAATTATTATAAATAACTGTAATAATAATAATATTGATAATAATAATAATATTTATAATAATAATAATGTTTATAACAATAATAATATTTATCATAGTAATAATATTTATCATAATAATATTTATAATGATAATAATATTTAATAATAATAATAATATTTATACAAATAATATTAGAGATAAAATTAATATAATTATTTAATAATCGTAAGACGGCCTGCACATAAACCCAGACAAAACAATTAATTATAAATTAAACAAATAATTAATTAATTAATTAACTATGTAAATAAATAATTAACTAACTAATTAATTAATTAAACAAATAATTAATTAATTATTAATCAAGTAATTAATTAATTAATTAATTAATTATTAATTAATTAATTAATTAATTAATTAATTAATTAATTAATTATACAAATAATTAATTATAACTTTCACGCATTATTAATTTCAAATTAAACAAATAATTAATTATAAATAAATAAACTAATTAATTTATTTATTTATTTATTAGTCAAACAATTAATTATAATGCAGACAAATAATTAATTAATTAATTAATTAATTATTTGTAGAAGACACGAGTCTCAGTCATGCAAACAAACGCAAAAAACAAACGCCGCAAAGGGCGATGAGACAGACAAAATAATACGCAGAGACAAACGAAAGCAGCACTCTAAACCCTAAACCCTAAACCCTAAACCCTAAACCCTGACGCGCGTTTTGGTGTCTCAGCAAATCTTCAGCGACGCATAACAACGGCAGGGCCTCAACATGTTTAATTTAATTTAATTTAATTTAATATATTAATTTAATTTAATTTAATTTAATTTAATTTAGTTTAATTTTATGTTTTATTTTATTTAATCAGGCTGACAATCAACGCCTTTGATGAACGCATAGCGAAGGCGGAAGCAGATGCAGCACCTGCTGCTGTGCTGCAGAGACTTCAAGAAGAAAAGCAGAGACATCCACTCGTCAAATTCTCTTATAAGTGTGCAGCTCTTGCTGCTGCTGCTGCTGCTGCTGCTGCTGGTGCTGGTGTTGCTGCTGTTGCTGGTGTTGCTGCTGCCGTGGTTGCTGCTGCTGCTGCTGCAGTTGTTGTTGCTGTTGCTGCTGTTGCCGTTGCTGCTGCTGCTGCAGTTGTTGTTGCTGCTGCGGTGGATGGTGTATACCCCTGCGTTGCGTGCTGCTTTTGTTGCTGCTGTCGTTGTTGCTTTTGTTGCTTTTTCTTCTTTTGCTGCTGCTGCTGCTGCAGTTGCTGCTGCTGCTGAGAGTGCTGTTTGGGTGTTTTTGTTTTTTTAATGTTTCTCTTTCTTTCTTCTTAAGCTTTTATGATTTGTTTATTTTTGTTTTATATTTGCTGCAGTGTTGCAGCGGAGAGGCAGAGACGACAGCTGCTGGAGCAGCGGCATCGGGTGTCTGCTGAGCTGCAGCAGCAGCAGCAGCAGCTGCAGCAGGAGATCCGTAGTGTTGAAGTGGAAGCAAAAAAATACAGCAAAACGAGAGAAGAGCAGCGCAGAATTCTTAAGAAATTCGAAGTGGCTGGAGAAGACGTTGTTGTTGTATGTTCTGCTGCTGCTGCTGCTGCTGCTGCTGCTGCTGCTTTTGCTGCTGCTGCTTCTGCTTCTGCTGCTGCTTCTGCTTCTGTTGCAGCTGTTGATGCTGCTGTTGCTGCTGATGATGGGCCTGTGCTTTAGCTGCTGCTGATTGGTGAGGTGTTGTGTAGCTGAAGAGCGATTAAGTTGCTGCACGTTTCTTCTTCTTGCTGCTGCTGCTGCTGCTGCTGCTGCAGGAGCCGCAGCCTTTGCTGCAGTTCACAGCCCCTACGGCGACGACTTTGAGCAGCGTGCTGCAGCAGCAGAAGCAGCAGCTTCCTAAGCGACAGTCTGAGCTGGTGGAGAGACATATGAATGCATACGATGCCCCCAAGCCTACCTGCAACTCCTTTCCTGTTGTTGAAGCATATACGTCCGTCTCTGCTGCTGCTGCTGCTGCTGCTGCTGCTGCAGCTGTAGATATATGCTGCTGTACTATGTTTGCTGCTGCTACTGCTGCTGCTGCTGCTGCTGCTGCTCCGTCGTTGCCGGTGGTGCCTCCTAGGGAAGCTGCATGCGCTTGGTATTGTTGCAGCAGCAGGCGCTGCTGCTGCTGTTGCTGCTGTTGTTGTTGCTGCTGTTGTTGCTGTTCTCTTGTTCTGTGGGATATAAACTCTGCCTCGCTTCGCTAATGCTGCTGCTGTTGCTGCTGCTGCTGCTGCTGCAGAGCTTTGCGGGGAGACGTGGCGGTGCTTGTGGCCCTGAAGATGCACATGGAGAAGCTGAAGGCTGTAAGAACGTAGCAGCAGCACAAGCAGCAGCAGCAGCAGCAGCAGCAGCAGCAGCGACTGCTGCAGCAAACAGCACACAAGCTCTTGCTGCGCCGAAGCGTCGGGAGGGTGTAAAGAGAGTCTGCTGCAGCTTTTTTCTGCTGTCTTGCGGTGTATGTACACCTCACAGGAACTTGAATACTGGGAGACATCTGTTGCTGCAGCGCAGCACCCGCCTGATGCAGCAGCAGCAGCAGCAGCAGCAGGAGGGAAATCGCAAGGCGGCAGATCGCAATCGGGCGCTGGGCCTCGCTCAAAGAGAGGTGAGGCCATGCTGCTGCTGCTGTTGTTGCTGCTGCTGCTGTTGCTGCTGCTGTTGCTGTTGTTGCTGCTGCTGTTGCTGTTGTTGCTGCTGCTCTTGCTCCTGCTGCTGCTGTTGCTGCTGCTGCTGCTGCTGGATGGACGGGTTCACTTTGCGTAGATGCGGTTGAGGGCACCGCAACCTGTTACAGATGTTTTAGCTGCTGCTGTTGCTGTTGTTGCCGCTGCTGCTGCTGCTGCTGCTGCACAGGTTACGGCGGCGCGCAGGGGGGCAGCAGAGCAGCGTCTGCTGCTGCAGCTCCTTCACAGCAGCATCAGCAGCTGCAGGTGGAGCAGCAGCAAGTGAATCTTGGCGAGCAGCAGCAGCAGCTGATGCAGCACCCTCAAGGGCATGCGAAGAAGCAGCAGATGCCACAGCAGCAACATATGCAGCAGGCTCAGCAGCAGCAACCGCAGCAGCAGCAGCAGCAGCATATGTATCATGGTATGCAGCAGACTGTGCCTGCACAGTCGCCGCAGATGGCTCAGCCGTTGCCTATGCAGCAGCGGCAGCTGCAGCTGCAGCAGCAGTTGCTGCAGCAGCAGCAACTGATGCAGCAGCAGCAGCTCTTGCAGCAGCAGCAGCAACAACCTGCTGTGGGTGTCCACCCTATGCAGCAGCCGTACATGGTTGCGGGGATGCACGACTTGCAGATGCAGCAGCAGCAGCAGCAGTTGCTGCAGCAGCAGCAGCTAATGCAGCAGCAACACATCATGCAGCAGCAGCAGCTAATGCAGCACCCAGGACAGCAGCAGCAGCAACCGCTGCAGCATGGTCCGCACTCCTTCTCTGCTATGCCGGGGGTAGTGCCGATGCAGCAGCAGCAGCCGCAGCAGCAGCAGCAACAGCAGCAGCAACCATCCAAGTACGTTTTCTGTGGTGTATTCTTTTGCTGCTGCAGCTGGCTGCTGTTTCTCCGGTAGTCTGTTGCTGCTGCTGCAGTTTGCTGCTGCTGCTGCAGTTTGCTGCTGCTGCTTTGGAGATGCCGATGAAGAGCTGGGTTTCTGCTTGTATGTGCGGTGGTTGCTTGTGTTGCTGTTGCTGTTGTTGCTGCTATTGCTGCTGCTGCAGGTCTCGGGTGCGGCGAAGCGCTGCAGCAGCAACTCCAGCAGCAGCTGCAGCAGCAGCAGAAGGGAGCGACGCCAGTCAGCAGCAGCATGGAAGCACTACCAGCAGGCCCCCTAAGAAGGCTCGATCAGTCCGTAGAAATGCATGACGCTGCTGCCTTCTATGTGCTGCTGCTGCTGCAGCAGCGCAGCAACAGCAGCAGCAGCTGCTGCTGCTGCGCTGCACCGCAAAGCAGCATCTGCTGCTGCTGCGCTGCACCGCAAAGCAGCATCTGCTGCTGCTTTGCCTGTCTCCGCTGCAGCAGCTGCAGCTGCAGTTGTTGTTGCTGTTGTTCCGCCTCGTGCTTCGCTGCGCCTGCAGCAGCAGCAGCAGCAGCAGCAGCAGCAGGAGCTTTGAGTGGTATTGGCTTTGCTTTCTTTGGGGTCTACCTGCTGACAGGCAGAGACAGTCTTTGATAGATTTTAATTTGTTTATTTATTTTTGTGTTTATTATTATTATTTATTTATTTATTGCTGCTGCTTCTCTTTGCTTCCTTCGCTCTTAGCTCTCCTTGCTGTCTCTTCAGCTGTCTCTTCAGCTGTCTCTTCAGCTGTCTCTGTCTTATATTTATTTTGTTTGTTTTTAATCTCCACCGCGCGGCGTCTCTAAGTGCAGCACTTGCTCCGGCGCTGGCTAGCTGTTGCACAGCGATGTACTAAGCAGCCGTAGCTAGCTAGCTAGCTAGCTAGCTAGGTAGTAAGCATTCTTAGCTAGCTAGCCAGCTTGGTGATAAGCAGCCGTAGCTAACTAGCTAGCTAGCTAGGTAATAGGCAGCCGTGGCTAGCTAGCTAGCTAAGTAGGTAATTTGGCGGCTACCTATCTAGGTAGCTAGCTAGCTAGCTAGCCAATGCCCTCTGGAGCCGCAGGCACCTGAGCCCATAGTTTAGCTAGCCAAGTCTATGAGAAGCCTACGGGAGCAGCGATGCAGCTAGCTAGAGCCTGTGGATAGCTAGCTAGTTAGTTGCTAGCTAGCTGGCTAGATAAGGTATAGCTAGCAAGCTAGCTAGCTAGTTAGTGGCTAGCTAGCTAGCTAGCTAGCTAGCTTACAGGCGACTCCGATGCACGTAGCCTCAGCATTTTCAAGCTAAGACCTCAGCAAGCCAATCAAAGGGCTGAGTTGAAAGAAAAACAAAATATAAATAATAACTGTGATTTACGCTTCTGCTACCTGCTGCTGCTGCAGGGCGCAGCAGCAGCAGGGAGCTGGTTGCTGCTGCTGCTGCTGCTGTAGCAGCAGCAGCAGCAGCAGCAGCC